ATTTTTATTCATGTTTATTAATTTTTATTAATTAAAATTGGACTAGTTGAAATAGTAGTTTTTTTTTTTGTTAGTTAGTTTGCATTGCACCAGCCAACCAGCAATTTCTCTTTATTATAAAGATAAGTAAACTTAAGAAGCTTAACACTAAGAGTTCCCCCAATTGTATCTTCTCCTTTCTGTTCTGATAACAATACGCTGCAAACGGGCACTATGCTATGCTTTAACACGCTTTTACATCACTAATTCGAATAGTTTGGTCCTTCTGAGCCTTCACATTATGTATCGGTGGTCCAGGAACTATAGAACTTCAATGTTGACGTGAACATGCAGTTTTTTTTCATGTTTTTTTTTCGATCGTTTTCCTCTCTTCTTCGACTGTAGGCATTCTGTGTAGGTCTGAGTTTCTAATACACCAAGGGGCGTTCTGGAAACGTTGTACTATTCGATTGAAAGTTTTGATTTTCTATTCATCAACCTGTATAATTTTCTATATTTAATACCCGACTCCTCCCCTTTTTTCTTTATGTGTTCTTTCCGCTTTAATTTAATATCTAGGTTCATTCTTAAGTATTTCGTTAATATGATCGCCTTTTCACACCTACAGTGGTCAGATTTGATAATTTAACTCACAAGACATTGTTAAATATTCGAATACATAAGACTTAAAAAACCGGTTTTAACAAGACACCTCTACTTTCACTGTTGTCATCCATGTAACCGTAAATCGATAAAGCACACAATTTTCTACGACAAACAATACAATGTATTTTTAGAATTAATAAGTACGGTGACTAATTATTCCCTCATTTATTAAAAAACTAGGTTAAACACGTCGGTACTCTATAGGATTATATTTACTATCCAACATTTCTACCTTGATTTAATATTCTTAACATGATCAGGAAAATGCAATACAGACAATCTATTAACACAGCAATTTTTCTTAAAAGCCTATGTGGTCCTAATATTCCCAATTTTCTATTCGATAAAAATCTTCGACACACTCTGTCAGTAATGTTGATTCCATGATATTTTCTCAAATATTACTAAAAAACAACTTTTGAGGAGGAGGGAGGAGGAGGAGGAGGAGGAGGAGGAGGAGGAGGAGGAGGAGGAGGAGGAGGAGGAGGAGGAGGAGGAGGAGGAGGAGGAGGAGGAGGAGGAGGAGGAGGAGGAGGAGGAGGAGGAGGAGGAGGAGGAGGAGGAGGAGGAGGAGGAGGAGGAGGAGGAGGAGGAGGAGGAGGAGGAGGAGGAGGAGGAGGAGGAGGAGGAGGAGGAGGAGGAGGAGGAGAGGAGGAGGAGGAGGAGGAGGAGGAGGAGGAGGAGGAGGAGGAGGAGGAGGAGGAGGAGGAGGAGGAGGAGGAGGAGGAGGAGGAGGAGGAGGAGGAGGAGGAGGAGGAGGAGGAGGAGGAGGAGGAGGAGGAGGAGGAGGAGGAGGAGGAGGAGGAGGAGGAGGAGGAGGAGGAGGAGGAGGAGGAGGAGGAGGAGGAGGAGGAGGAGGAGGAGGAGGAGGAGGAGGAGGAGGAGGAGGAGGAGGAGGAGGAGGAGGAGGAGGAGGAGGAGGAGGAGGAGGAGGAGGAGGAGGAGGAGGAGGAGGAGGAGGAGGAGGAGGAGGAGGAGGAGGAGGAGGAGGAGGAGGAGGAGGAGGAGGAGGAGGAGGAGGAGGAGGAGGAGGAGGAGGAGGAGGAGGAGGAGGAGGAGGAGGAGGAGGAGGAGGAGGAGGAGGAGGAGGAGGAGGAGGAGAAGGAGAGGAGGAGGAGAGGAGGAGAGGAGGAGGAGGAGGAGGAGGAGGAGGAGGAGGAGGAGGAGGAGGAGGAGGAGGAGGAGGAGGAGGAGGAGGAGGAGGAGGAGGAGGAGGAGGAGGAGGAGGAGGAGGAGGAGGAGGAGGAGGAGGAGGAGGAGGAGGAGGAGGAGGAGGAGGAGGAGGAGGAGGAGGAGGAGGAGGAGGAGGAGGAGGAGGAGGAGGAGGAGGAGGAGGAGGAGGAGGAGGAGGAGGAGGAGGAGGAGGAGGAGGAGGAGGAGGAGGAGGAGGAGGAGGAGGAGGAGGAGGAGGAGGAGGAGGAGGAGGAGGAGGAGGAGGAGGAGGAGGAGGAGGAGGAGGAGGAGGAGGAGGAGGAGGAGGAGGAGGAGGAGGAGGAGGAGGAGGAGGAGGAGGAGGAGGAGGAGGAGAGGAGGAGGAGGAGGAGGAGGAGGAGGAGGAGGAGGAGGAGGAGGAGGAGGAGGAGGAGGAGGAGGAGGAGGAGGAGGAGGAGGAGGAGGAGGAGGAGGAGGAGGAGGAGGAGGAGGAGGAGGAGGAGGAGGAGGAGGAGGAGGAGGAGGAGGAGGAGGAGGAGGAGGAGGAGGAGGAGGAGGAGGAGGAGGAGGAGGAGGAGGAGGAGGAGGAGGAGGAGGAGGAGGAGGAGGAGGAGGAGGAGGAGGAGGAGGAGGAGGAGGAGGAGGAGGAGGAGGAGGAGGAGGAGGAGGAGGAGGAGGAGGAGGAGGAGGAGGAGGAGGAGGAGGAGGAGGAGGAGGAGGAGGAGGAGGAGGAGAGGAGGAGGAGGAGGAGGAGGAGGAGGAGGAGGAGGAGAGGAGGAGGAGGAGGAGGAGGAGGAGGAGGAGGAGGAGGAGGAGGAGGAGGAGGAGGAGGAGGAGGAGGAGGAGGAGGAGGAGGAGGAGGAGGAGGAGGAGGAGGAGGAGGAGGAGGAGGAGGAGGAGGAGGAGGAGGAGGAGGAGGAGGAGGAGGAGGAGGAGGAGGAGGAGGAGGAGGAGGAGGAGGAGGAGGAGGAGGAGGAGGAGGAGGAGGAGGAGGAGGAGGAGGAGGAGGAGGAGGAGGAGGAGGAGGAGGAGGAGGAGGAGGAGGAGGAGGAGGAGGAGGAGGAGGAGGAGGAGGAGGAGGAGGAGGAGGAGGAGGACTTTATTAATTCAATAGTATAAGCATCGTACATAATGTATGGATTTATCGTTCTTTACAGTTGTGATTTTAAGGGACCGAAGACACAAGTTTTGGAGTCTTAATACAAGACGCAAATATTATTCTGTAGAATTGCTGTTTAAGACAGTTCATTTTTTGATATCTGATTTATAGTTTTAATTTTGCAGTTTCTCAAATAGCTTCCAGGAACACCCGTACATTTCACTTGAATACACCCAGAACTGACGTTCTCTTAAAATCCCCTATACACACCATGTCTAATAATTATGAATCAGTAAGTTGCTTGATTTGTTTTATAGTTAAATTCATAATATTAGGTGTTATTTCTATAATAATGTTCTCTTTAGTTGTTTGCATATTCATGAAATGCTAGAAAAATAATTTTCTTAGCTTTTTTTCTCACCTGCTGTTCAATCAATTAGTATATTATTTCTTAATTAGTAGTATTTATATATTATTGTACTTTTACTCTATATTTGGGTCTTGACCTGATAAGTAATGTAATAATAAATAAATAAATAAATATATTAAGTACCTATCCGTAAATATTTCCATTTTTCAAAGACTTTGTATTATTATTTTCCTCTTTATATTATACTATGGCAGCTGCTAGAAAAAATATGGATATGTGCCAAATATGAACTGAAAAATATAATAAGATAAAAGCTTGAATTATTTGCTAACAACAAAAATTGTGTATACCTATATTTCGAAGCATTTTGCGAAATAAATCTGAAATTATAGTTTAGTTTTATTTATATATATTTTTTTAATTTCCTCTTAATCAATATACTTCTCCTTTGCTCTACTTGACCTAATAATTTTTTGCCTCTGTATGGTATAACAAAAAATATCACAAACTTATATCAGTTTGACCATAATATACTCGAAATAAATTATTCCTTTAATAAAGTCGTTGGGCGTCTTTATCAGCTTTTTGAGTCTTAACTTTTGGTTTTTATACGTTGGTTTTTTATGGTGGGCGCGTGTGAAATGGACATTTCCACTTTGAGAAAGAACAGGCGAGGTCCTTAATCCTATTTAATGGTGTCAGGCGAGACTTGTTAGAAGAAATAAGATTTTTATTTTATTGGCTGGAGGTCGTACGTTATTGGGAATATGGACTCAGTTTCGTGCATGGTTAACCCAAGTTACTTCTTATTATCCAGAAAAATAATATAACCGGACATGCAATGGGTGCGAGAATCAGAAATAATGAACGAGACTAAAGTAGGAATTGAATTCAATTTATTTAATATGCTTTTTTATTTAAAAAAGTAGAGTCCTTCAAACCTCTGTTATTAATCATTACAGTTACAAGATAAGTGACTGACTATTAGTGGATTTTATTTGTTGCACTAGGTGTAAGTTTTCTGCACTAATCGCATTTGATTTTTTCAGTGAAGCTTGAAATATTTGACACATACTTAAGTGTAGCAAATACTTTTGACAAGTATGACAGTTCGAATACAGTATTGAGCGTAACACTAGTGCAACAAATAAAATCCATTATAAAATTATTCGTATAAAGTGTAACACAGTGGCGGATTTAGGATTCATTCTAGGAAGGGAGGGGCTTGGTAAGATTAATAAAATACAAAATATAAAACCTATGTTTAAACATAGCCTATGAAATAATTACGATAAAACATTACAAGAAGGAACAAGAACCAATAATATTGTAAAATCGTGACATAACACTTTAAAAAGTAACTTCAAGGTTAAAAATCCGTTAACTTGGATTTTTAAAAGGTATTATAACGATTGTTTAATATAAAAATAAATTAATTTATTTCAAACAATTTATTTATAATTTATTTACACTACGTACTTATTAATTTATTCACTTAAGCACTTTTTTTTTAATTTATTTAACACATTTACTTATACTAATTGACATAACCTATAAAGCAGACCACATGTGATTGCTGTTATGTGCAAAGTTTTTCGTGAATTTGGACAAACCATTTGCCTTCAATTATTGATTACGATAGTTTTAGAGTAGTACTTCACGGTGTGATATAAGCTAATCCGTAGTTTCCACTAATTATTATATTTTAAGTGTTTTTATTAAAGTGAGGTTAAGATGCCTCGTGCAAAATACTTAAAATGTGATGTTTCCTTAACTAAAGAGGATAAGGTAAAAAATTGCGATAGCTGTGTAGATCCTTTTCATCTGGAAGAATGTTCTGGTCTATGTGCCAGCGAAGTAAGGGCTATTGTACTACAAAAACGTGAAAATTTTTTTTTCTGTGATGAGTGCGTATTCGCCTTTAAAAAATCCCCTTGTAGCTCAACAAGATTAGTAAGTTAGAAAACGAAGTGAAAACTCTAAAGGAAGATATGAAAAAACTTAATGAAGTAACGAAACTCGATACTCAAGAAATTTTCAACGAAGTTCAAGAGCTACTTGGGCCTCAAATGTTATGTTGTAAAATGTTCCTGAACCTGTTTCTACCACGCTGAATAATAAAATTGAAGAGGATAAAAATAAATGTGCTAGAGTTTTGAATAGTGTTGGTATTGGCAAGGCTGCGAGTGGGAAAAATTGGAACCAAACCTAGGCCAATCAAAAATGTACTATCCTCAACTCGTAAACCAAGTGTTAAAACTAAAGAAAAATGTAACATCTACTATTAAAATTGGCATGGATAAGAGCAAGATGCAACAAGAACAATTTGGGGAAGTTTAAGATGAGTTGAAATCTAGACTAGAGCACGGCAAAAAGGATTTAGTCTTAAAATTTGCTAGAGGTGTCCCCAAAATAATAAATAAAACAAAAAATGCTTAAACGGGAATACGCTGAATAAACTCACAGTGTTTTATCCCAATAACGGCGGTAGTAGGAATAAGTTGTCTACTTTAAGGTCTGCCGCAATTACTAGTAGTTTCGATGTTATAGTACTATCTGAAACGTGGTTGCATGAAAATTATTCAGATACGGAAATCGGTTTGCGTGGATATAATGTTTTTCGTGCTGATCGTAACCAGTTTATATCTCGGCAACTGAAAGAATAGAACACAAATTTTTGAGATATGCAGGGTATAAAATGCACTTACAGGTTGGCAATTACAGTTATCAGGAAGTTTTGAATATACTTAACTTATTTACATTAGAAAACCGTAGAATATTTATAGAAATGACTTTGTTATTCAAACTATTGTCAGGGGATATTTGTTGCCCAGAACTTATGTCCCTTTTTTCACTTAGGAATCAGAATAGAACCACTCGTAACCACAGTTTATTGGCTGTTCCATTTCATTACACAAATTATGGATATCACACTCCTGTCTCTCGCTTATCAAGAACAGCCAATATGCTTGGTGAACAAGGCATTGATTTTATGGGTCCTTCCCTGAGCACCTTTAAAGCTAAGTTGAGGTCAAAGCTTTAAAAACAGGATGTCTGTGATTCGATAATAAATGTATTTATTGTTTGTATCTATGTAGGTTAAATACTACTGTATTATTTTACTATAAAGGGGTTTTTGAGTTAAATAAATAAATAAAATTTATATCACATTTATTTTATCTATGTTCTCATTGCTATGACTCGTCTTCGACTGACAACTTCCAGTGCAACACAGCCCATAATTTATACCGGCTCTCTGTGTCCATAGACGTCCCTATAATTGGGTGAAGGGGGTATATCTTCTCCATCAAATATTCCTGGATTTAAGGACAAGTGGGGTCGTAACAAAGCCCAAACAAGACAGAGGGACCCACAGGATCAGTGCATGAGCAGATTGGTCGTAAATGACTTACAGTATTTTAACAGAGAAAACTTATCAATAATTGAAGTTAAACCAGCAAATGGCAGGCTATTAAAAGGAACCTCTCGAGCAAAAAGAAACAAAAGCAGTTTCAAAATTAATTTTGAAGACTATTTTATGAACTATTTATCAGAAATTTTTTTACATTTTTAATTTTTTTAATTATTCTTCTGGATGTTTTGTGTTAATTGTGCTGGTATGTTATTTATCATTATATATAAATCTTTTCATTCACAAATGTTTTATAATTCGACTCTTTTGCCTGTTTGAAATTGATATTTTACAGTTCCTAACTTTTGTCATTATATATTTTATATTTGACATTATTTTCATTTATTTTCATGCCCTATTATTTTGCGTTATATTGCACTTTCCAACATTTGTTATTCCATATTTTCTATTTTCGGGTCTAGTTTTCTACCTATTTTTCGATCTAGCATCTTTCGACTTAATATTTTTCATTATTTTGTTTTTCTATCTATTATTTTTTGATATTTTAATAATTATCGAGCCCTATAAGCACAAAACCGGGTCCAAGAATTTTGATCTGTTTAGTTAGCAAAATCAAATAAAAATTATTTTATCTCTGCTGTTTCTCAAATAGGCGTTTGTTGCGGTAGGTAGTAGCTAAACAGTCATTTGTATTACTATGTGAAAAATGACGTGGACAATTTCCTATTTTTTTTTATTCTACATCTTGGCCACATTTGAGTTCATAATTATTTTCATTTTATTAACCGACTTCAAAAAAGAAGGAGGTTCTCAATTCGTCGTAATTTTTTTTATGTATGTTCAGCGACAATTCTTTAACACGGTGTCCCATATTAATTTGGTCAAAATCTAATAACTGGGTCCATGAAAAAATCCTCAAACTTTTCATTTTTAATGTATGTTTAGCGGTAATTCTTTACCACGTTGTCTCAGGGATGGTCCCATATAAATTTGGTTAAGATGTGGTGACGGCATCTCCACGAGTTTGAAGTCGTTTTTTTAAATTAGTTTTAATACTTGTAAAAAATCTTAATTTTCATTTTTTCAATAACAAAATCAACTAAAAAATATATTTTCAAAATCTCGCCTATCAAAAACTGTATCAATCTTGCCATATTCACAATCCAATTACATTCAGAACTAGAGCTCAAACTGAATTTAAATGATTAAAATATATATGTTGGTTCAGAAGATATGAGGTCTGACATAATTTTTGTATAGAAAAGTTATGTAACTAATTAATAATTCATTTGTGGAAGGATGGCTGCGTATAAATTCAGAAATCAAATAATTCCCCAGCTAAGACCAAGCTGAAGAATAAATTCGTATCAACGCATATACTCATCCTGAATCTCTTTATATAATATAGGTAAACTTATTAATCCATAACTAAAACCTCTTTTTGCAATTAATAGTATATTTAGTTCTTATTAAGTTTGTATTAAAATAATGACGGGGTTTAGTATCACTTAAATGGCATATTAAAAATAAATTCCCATTGGAAAGGAACTACTCTACGTTGGGCACCATTTGTTATAATAATAGTTATGCTTCCTTGTAATTTTACAATTAATTATATTAAAATTGCTTCCTAATTTATCTAATTAGCTATTTCTTATCTTGTGTCTAAATAAGATGATAAAACAGAGCCATCCTTTTCTATTCAACTAGCTTTTGAAGTCACAAATTTACAACCCAATATTATCTTTAGATAGAAAGAAGAAACCACATGACATTTAAGCAAGTTTTTAAAACCCCAATAACTGAATCATCCTAACAACAAAATAACTTGTCTCTGTGAGATAGAAAGGATTTCTCTTTATAACCTTCGTACTCAATTCCAACCACTCATATATGGCTACCCTTACTCCTAAACAAAATACTACCCTGGTATATATATTTCGACCATATACACGGTGTCTTGAAATGAGACGGTCATATTTTAACAGCGTAATCTACATCGTGAAATAGGAGTAAAAGTTCATATAAACATAGGTCCGAAAACGTTTTGTTTTCGAGACACAGAGTGATACCAGTGAAGTCCTGATGGCACATTGTTGTAAATATTTTCTAACATTTTATAGTTAAAAATGTTAAAAACTGTCAACAAAAAAAACTTTTATTATAAGCCCCCCTAATTTACCCACCTATGAGGATGATCAAAAACTGGGGTTTAGTCCATTAAATAGAGCGTAAAATGGTAAACGTTTAGAAAATATTTACAAAAGTGTGTCATCAGAACTTCACTTTTAACACTCTGTATCTCAGAAAATAAATGTTTTCGGACCTATGTTTATATAAACTTTAACTTCTATTTTAGGATATAGATTACACCGTTAAAATATGACCGTCTAATTTCGGGGTATTTGCGATCAAAAATTTTAACTTGGATAAGATACAGGATTTTTAGATTTCATCAAAAATATCTACCCTAAAATTAAATTTACCTTTGAACTTGAAGCTAATAACTCAAATTAAGTCGAAGAACTTATTTTTCTTTCATATTTTAGTTTCCATTGTTTGTATAAAAAAGTATTAATTTTTAGTCTTCTCTATTAGTCGCAATGACAATAAACTAGAGTTTGACATCTACTTAATATTCAACTCTCTGATCTTAACTTCAATAAGGAAATCAATGTGATAAAACAATTGAGGCGTGTTTTGCAAAAACCTTATATGTCATTTTTTCTGGAATTTGGACATCGTATTAATTTAAATAATCATAATTTCAGTCCTCTAGCAGCTATTCTCAACCGCTGGTCCGGCGGACCATTAGTGGTCCGCGGAGAAATTTTACTGTCACGCAATTTACTGTCCGCAGTTTTTTTTAACAAATCTACTGGTCCGCGGGCCAAAAAAGGTTGAGAAACACTGCTCTAGAGAATGCAACCATCCTTCACAATATTTTTAACTGTAACTTCAAATTAAATTTACTTGAAGATCTTGAGATCCACAGAGAACCTTGCAAACCCACTACTAATTCTGTTAACATTCAAATTCACCTCAATAGCCAAGTTCTATTTAGAGTATTGGCAACGATTAATTTCCTTCAACGGTTTGTTGGAAGAACTGGTCTAGTTGCGACTCTGGCTGCTGCTGGTATCGACAGAGCCAACTGTAGTTTAAAAAAAAAAAAAATACAATAGTAAATCTCTCGATGGTGTGGAGGTAGAACATTTGTGTACAGATGAAATGCCTTTTTTTTTCAAATCGCCAAGTACGTTTTTTCACCTTTGAGGTATGGGGATGGTCTTGTTAATTTATAGACGGATTTTTACGATTTTTTCCGAATTTTCAAATTACTTCAGCCATTTATTTTTCAGATATACTGATTTTTCGGATTTCCATTTGTGATTTCTCTATATTAAATTATAATTTTCATACATACGTCTCTTATACTACATTAAAAACTTAACTTAAACAGACGAAGATATGAATAAATGCATTTCTCATATACACCAATGTGTATAGAGGCATTTGAAGATTTGAGAACGAACCTGAAACGGCGCTTGGCCCGAATTAGTTCATCAAACGCCCGCTAGGAATCTCGACAGTCAATTTTGCGATGGTCTAGATGTAGTGCATTTGTGTACAATACCAAAATGTCTGGGTTAGAGTCCCAGCGACGACAGGCATTTTTTCAAATCTCCAAGTATGTATTTTCACCTTTGGGGTTCAGGGATGATCTTAATAATTCGTAGGCGGATTTTTGAGATTTGTTTCCGAATTTTCTAATTATTTCAGCTAAACAAAAATAATTTCAGAACTATATCAAGGGTACTACCACGAGTCCTACAAATTTTATCGATTACATTTTTAGTTTCCACGAAATAGTCTTTATTTGGAAAACCAAGAAAACAAAACGATTGATAAAATCACAAGTCCGCAGGACGAGTAACTATAACTTAAATCTTGCATGGCCCATCATTATAATATTTATTTGTTTTGCAAAAACATTGAATTCCTTTATCTTTTGAAGTGCTAAATCAAGGGTAGATCCCTTATACAGTTAAGGGCAAGAAACCAAGCATAAAGTAATATTGTTTAAACTATATAGAAAACCTTATTTACATATTTCTTAATTAATACACTGAGGGTTAGTGTAATCATTTCTTCGACAATGAACTAGAGTAAGTCAAATAAATTTTACCTCAGTCACACCCTTTTACACAAAAATCACGCAATATTATCGAAATGTGTGTAAAATTAAATGACTAAAGTTATATTCTAATACGATTTAATAGCAGTATAATTAATTAATGAACATTTTTTAGAAAATTACATATAACTTTATATATTATATATTTATACCCGAAATTTAATTAAATGTAATCATTTAACAGGGATGCCGTTACAAGGCAATGCATTTAAATTATCAGTGAGTTGATTTTTGTCGCCGATTTAATGGTCTATGAGAATCTATGTTTATTTATAAGGATTGCTCATAAATGTCTGAAGTTTCAAGATTTTTTCACTAGAGATGATTTGACAAAAAATATTTATTATTATAGACTCCATAGAGAGCGAAATGTGTCAAATTTTCGGAGCCACCACGAACTCTAATAAAAAAAACAGAGAATATGTAGAGGTTTCAAGTATAAAATTAACCAGAAAAAATATCTATATCTGCAAAACTGTAAACCTCAATATGTTATTCAAGTGTCTCTAAATCAACATCGAACACTTAACATTTTAAACACAACAAAATTTTGGTGGCATTCTAAGTACTTAACATTAATTCGATTACTGACTATGTTTAGAACGCGTAACTGAAGTGTGTTCAAGGGTTTTCTGTCATGTAACGAGTCATCAAATTTTGTTTCAACGAGCATTATACATACATTACCAGGTGAATTTCAAATAACAATTGACCTACATAGCGGAGAAAATGTATTTTATTCGCATTTTCCAAGCGATTTTCGTGTATACAAAATTTAAAAAATGTCAAATGTATTACAAGGTTTTTATTATTAACCACATACAATCAACTACTTAATAAAATATTTCATTCTATAAACTTTTTAAAGAGTAAGTGCTTACCAAAAAAATTACAATAATGTAGTTTACAGTTTTTCAAGTCAGTTAAATACAATATTTTTAACAATATCCCTATCCTAGGTGGACACTACAAATTTTATCGTAAGTACACTTTTTATTAACATTTGTGACGGCTGTTGTCAATTGTCAGTTCTGTCAATTATGCCACTTGCATTTATTTGGGGATTGGAGAATTTATAGGTCATTGGTTTTTTTACATGTTTCTACAACTACTTTCATCAAAGACTAGATTTATGATTCTAAAGTATGTCTTCTCATGCCATTTTATTGGCTTATTTTGGGCTTGATTCTTTGATTGTAATAGTAATAAACATAAACTATTATAAATCATTATTACGTAATTAACTCATTTCATCAATAGAAACAATAGTTTTTAATCGGTGTAATATCGTTAGATAAAATATTACTGCCACACAGATATTTAAATGCTTTTTCAACAGAGACGGTTGGAATAAAAGAAAGCTGAACATTTTACATTAAGTTGGAATTCATTATCTGTATCATACTTTGGTTTAAGTCCGAAATTTAAAATGTTTTTGTAAACAGCTTTTTCAAAATTCTTGTTCAAAACTTTTTATATAAATTTGTTCAGTTTTTGTTTTTGTTAATATTGCGTATATAAGAGGATAATGGGCACCAATAACTTCACTGTGAATTGAAAATAATTAGTAAAATAAACTTGGCAGTGTTTTAAAGGTGCCGTCAACATAACATTGCTGACTGTTTAAAGTGCTTGTTTGTGGCAAATATTAAAACTATGTCATTGTCATTAGAATCACAAATCAAAAATTGATTTGATCTATTAGTTTTTATATAATTTTCAGGTATTTTCAGTTTTTCTAGTAAAGAAGGTGTGGAAAGCCCACATTTTATTTGCTAATTCTGTTTAGAGAACTTACAAAAGGACATGACTTGAAAGCATTTTCGCTTTGATTAGTTGCGACAGAAACAGTACTAGCTTGAAGTGAATACTTGCTTATTTTGGCTTGTTTCCTTAATGACGTCACCATTTTGGTAACGTCTAACTTAACGGTATTACTTTCGTGGTTATGGTCATTTTTTAACGACGTCATTTTTCATCGTCAGACAAGTCTTATATATAGACTTGTTTTTTTCACATTTCCAATATGAACTTATTATTAAAGATACAATAAACCATCTTTATAATTATTTTTTTCCTTTTGGCCCAGAATAAATTCATCTAAATATTTGCCATTTTAAAATGTTGGTAATTATATGATTTTGGCAACTAGTCAGTTTATTTGATTGATATTCGTTTGCACATAAATAACATTTTGACAAGTCCGCTATAAAATACAGGATGATCTGCAGAGAAGAGTAAAAATAATAAAATCTGCTTTTTATGATGGATGGATAATATATTATACCTGAGCGTATCAACTTGTCTTTAACCGCTTAACGTGTTTACCCGAGTTAACTCGGGCCAGTCCATACTGAAAATTCTTCCTCAACCGAGTTAAGTCGGGCAAATAACAAATTGTACGTATATCGCGCGCCGGCTCGAGTTTACTCGTTTTTACTGCGGTAGTGGGGTCTGTGTGGTGTGTTTTGTGGCTATTTTGAAGGTCACAAAATTTGGCTAAAGACACACACGGCTATTTTCGCCGACTCGGCCACCGCCCCGGCGGATGGTGTAATATAAATAAATGTAGTTGTTCATACTATACTGCGCTGCGAGAAAGCGACGCTATACCGCCGCGCGTACCGTCGTTCGACTCAAATGCATTACTTTTGTGAACCGCTTCGTGTGTTTTGTGTTTTGGCAGAGGCGGCCAGCCAAGTCGGCGGCCGACTCGACGAAAACAGCCGTGTGAGTCTTTAGCCTTAGAGTACACGCTGCGTCAGGCGACTGCCGCTCGCATTCATGCTTCCGCGTCAGCGCGTGTGTTTAAGTTTGAACTAGCGTCTTGTAGAAATACGAATTTTTCTTCTTTATTCTTACATATAATGGATTCCGACAGCGATAGTAGTTTTACTGGTTCAGATACATAGGACAAAATTGACGAAAGCGGGTCAGACACAAAGCTTGATATTTTAAGAAGTTCAGATTTCAGCGATTCTTCTGACATTGCACTTGCTCGTATTTGGTGCAAATTACAGACAGATGCCCTAGTACCACCTGAATTTCCATTTATTTCTTCACCCACCGTGTATTTACAGCCAAGTAATGATTTTAATGATGTACATCAGTCTTTTGAACAGTTTCTTTACGACGCCCTCATTGAACACATTGTATGTGAAACCAACGAATACCAAATCAAAAGAAATTCAAGAACTGGTCATCTACAACTTCTAACGAATTGAGAGTTTTTCTGGGTCTCATAATATTGTAGAACGTTGTCAAGAAACCTGAAATAAGACAGTATTGGTCAAAAAATATCTTATTGGTCACTCCATTTTTTGCCAAATGTCTGAGCAATAAAAGATTTGAAGCAATTATGTCTAATTTACATTTTTCCAATAATAAAGATTTTGATCCTGATCAGCATCCAAATCCTAAATTAAATAAAATTTGACCCGTGTATGAATATTTAGTAAAAAAAATTTGCGAATTAGTTAGGCCTGTAAAACACATTGCGATTGATGAGAGTCTTTTGTTGTACAAAGGACGAATTGGTTGGATTCACTAAATACCAGTGAAGAGGGCACGTTTTGACATTAAAACATATAAACATATATGTTATGTGAATCCAAAAGTGGCTATGTGACGAATTTTATTATATGCGGACAAATATTGACCAGGAATTTGAAAACCTTCTAGTTTCCTCTCAATTAGTTATGACGCTGTCAAAAGGCCTACTAAATCAAGGATACTGCCTAACCATAGACAACTTCTACAACTGTCCACAGCTTGCTGACCTCTTGATTTCGAAGAAAACGGAAGTTTACGGCACAGTAAAGTTAACGCAAAAAGAAATACCTAAAGAACTATAAGAGATAAAATTGAAAAAAAGAGAAGTCATTGGTTTCCAAAGGGGAAGGTATCCCTTATCAAGTGGAAAGATAAAAAAGACATTGCTCTGATATCGACTGTACATACGAACAATTGTTTGGAAGTGCAAACAAAAAAATAAAAGAAGATCAAGCCAAAAGTTGTCGCGGATTACAACGATACGATGGGTGGTGTAGATCGAGTTGACCAACACTTGAATGACTATAATGTACCCTTTGAGCATTTCATATATACTCGAAGAATATACTAAGAAAAACAGAAAAGAAATATTACAAAAAAATATTTTTCCACCTTTTAGATTTGGCCTTATGGAATTCTTTTTTTATTTACCACAAGAAGGGCGGAACGAGATCATCACTTATATACAGGTTGGAACTTATCAAGCAAATAATGCAAAGTATCACGTAGCTGAGTTTACACCCAGGTCAGGACGTCCTTCTTCAAATATTACACCTCTCCGTTTGACAGGCCGCCATTTTCCAGAGTAGATTCCAGCAACTGAAAAAAAGACAAATCCAACCAGTGTGGAATTTGCAGCAGGGTTCGTGATGCTCGCGGAATGACAATTAGAAGATAGACGTGGTACTACTGTCCAAATTGTGACATGCCCTTATGCGTGACGCCGTGCTTTAGAGATTATTACACTGTAACAAACATTTAAATTTACATAACATTAGAAAGTGCCTTTTTTTTGTTTGCCATTTTTTTTATGTTTATACTACCGTTTTTTAATTTTGTTGCATTTAGGGAAAAAATATATGCTTCCTGTAACCGCCCGAGATAACTCGGGTAAGCGCATGCGCGAAAATAAAAGTCTACTTTTTTACAAAAAAATGTGTTTTTTGGGTTGTGATAAAAAATATGCAATGGAACCTATTTATAGAGTCAAAATTACAAATAAAAAAATACGGCATTCTTTTGACAGCTTTTGTAAAAAAAAGTCGCTTGTTAAGCAGTTAACAGACATTTTCGATATTTTTAAAAATAAAGGTTCTTTATTCTTGCATCAAATTCATATTTTTTATCAAACCTCGTACAATACTAAAAAAATTGATATATGATTGTTGCATATTATGTTTTAGACTAAGCATGACTTTTTATGAAGAATAACTTTTTGTCATAATTCTAACTTTAAAAAAGTTCCCCATTTGTGCTGATTTATGCAGACACACTGTATATGTTTAGCGAATTTCAGTTTCTGAGATTAAATTAAATTTTTTAACATTAGCCTATTTTTTTCAACGGCCTATTGGAGTTCAAACAATTGTTTGTCCGATTTTTTGTTTTTCGAACACTTGTTATTCGATCTTTTGTTTTTCGACCTTTTGTTCCTTGATTTATTATTGATCGATATTTTAGAACTATTACGTTTTCTCATTCGATAGTTAGTTTTTCGATATTTTCAGTTAGATAATTATTCGCATTCGACCTTTTATTTTCGACATTTTCTCCGGGTCCCGTGCTAATCAGGACTCATCATCGATCATCGAGATATTTTTGGCATGTACAAACCCTTATGAAACCTGCAGAAGCGTTAAATTCACTCTCCTACATAAACAATGGAAGTTGAGCAAAAAAATTTCCCGCCTGGATATTAATTTCACCCAGTTTTTAAACTGGATACTGCTGCTAAGTACAGACGAAGTTTTTTTTTCACCCTTTCAGGTATCCCTTTACTCTCTTTCGATGGATTTCGGTAGAAATCAGGCTTATTGGGACCAGCCACTGGCTCCCTTCAATGAGTCTTGGGTCCAGTCTGCTTTCCCTCAACTTTGGGTTCGTATGACGGCACTGAGACGCAGATGGCCCATTTCCTTATTTTCGCATACAAACCTCGAAGAAGATAGAAAAGCACATCGGTTGAGTAAAATGAAAGGAAATTTATGAGTGGCTCTTGGGGATAACACATACGCTTTTCCTCAAGATAAATATTTTCCGATCCCAAAATGCACTTATTCGTTCTGGTCATTAAAGCCAAAATGTTTTTTGGACTAGTGACGATGTACATTTTCATACATTCAATGGGCTTGGTTAAAATCTTAACTTTTTTCTTACAAGAATACTCTCTTATTTTAACACATTGCAACATTAAAGCTTAGTTCTATTAGTTAATTATTTAGTGAAAACGTCTTGCGTGAATATAAGGGCAAAAAATACCTTTAATTTTTGTTGAGGAAAATCGAATTTTCCATATATTATCCCCAAGAGCAACTCATAAATTTCCTTTCATTCTACTCGAAATCGATGTAATTTTCAAACCCCTTCGGAGCTTGTATGCGAAAATGGGGCACTTAAACCTGTCACTATCTGATGGTTTAACAGAAAGTCTGGCAGTTGGTATAATCAAAAACAATTTACATTTAAAACTTAGGATCACTTTTTTCAAAATGGATAGTACATCATTAAAATATCATTTCATTTAGAAAATAATCGATCTGAAAGTTTTTATTAGAACTAACTTTCCCATTTGCTTAAAAAGTAAAAAGAAAGTAACGCCATACGGTGATAAAACATTTTTATTTGAAGAACTGCACTGCAACAGCGTTGAAAACTATTTAATTCTGGATAAATGAGTTTACACTTGGACCGTACATGTACCGAATATAAAGCGCTGACAGAATTCCCAGGTGAAGTGAGGTCATCGCAAAAATGGAAAACTGCCGAACAAAAATTTGTGCGTTTGCTAGGGGTAAAAACATAGTCGATCAGTTTAAATTGCCGCATCACTGGCCTTGTATATTGCCGTGCAAGCTGCAGCGCTTCGGCACTCGCCTCTTTGAAACTAAAGGTCTGTTCCAACGACGAGAAACTACTACAGTGCAACCTCTTTAATCCGAACTCCTAATTGTCAGACCTTGTTCGGATTATCTAATTGTTCGGATTAACGAATATACAATAAAACACCTCTTACACATTTTTAGACCTTTAGATCTATGTATGTATATTGATTTTTGTACATTTAAATGCATTATCAAACTACATATGTGCGACGCGGGCCGCGCTGAGGGTCTTTTCCTGTCAGCGCAGCGTTCGGATTACAGAGGCGGCGCATAGTGGGGCAAATCCACTTTTTAGTGGTCAAAAATAATTTTAATGATAATTTTGATTATGGGCATCATTTTGGATGGATAGCAGCCCACATTGCATAAATTAGGTTGTATACAAGAAAATTACACATAGTTTACAATAAAAATGTTTTTATTAGGCGCCGTTTACTCTAAGGGTATATAAGATAAACGGTGTATATTGTAAACGATATACGATATGCGACTCACACAGACATATACTTGAATTCTAAGGGAAGGCGATAAAAATAGGTTCACAGCAGCTCGATATGTTGTGCATTTGCGCGATATGCAGTTCTTAATGTTCTAGAAAAACAGAAATTTGCAATTTATTTTGTGAAAAGTTTTCGAAAATAACATTTAATTTTTTATTTTAATTTGATCAAAATATTGAAACTTTTCTCTGCACATACGAAATTTCTTATCAGTGGCGGCTCGTGACCAAAATATTGGGTGTTCACAATGACAGAATATAGGTCTCAGTATAGTTGTAAGTAAAAAAACTTTCAGTATGACCTATATTCTGTCATTGTGAACCCCAATATTTTGATTACAAGCCGCCACTGATACGGATCCACTACGTATTTCCGGCAAGGCAATAACACATTGTTTTAAATTGGAATGTTCACATATGCATATGCGTAGAATACGCAACCACGTGGCATGCTGCCGGAAATATGCACCTACGCATGCACGTGCCGAGATCTGTCTACCGGGATTCCTAATGCTTTTTCAAGATTAACAGATTATTTAGTTGATTTTTATATTTCGGGAACATCTGTATTTCCTCCTTCGGTATGGGCTTCCAAAACGAGTAATTTATTTTTAACAACCAACCCCTGTGAATCCTTTCACTCTCATTTTTCAAAAAGTTTTTACCAAACGCACCCCAATATTCACGTTTTTGTTAAAACTCTTATTGAATTTCAATGCTCAGTTTATAATAAAATTCAAAGTATTGTAACTTTATTGTTGTAAAAACGAAAACAGAGATGCGGAAAAGTTTTTAAATCAGAAGATTTTGGAGCTAGAAAATAAGCTATTGTCAGAATATGATTTTGTGAAGTTAGTTGCTCATAGATACAAACTATAATATTATTTACTGTAAAATTATTATTATTACTATTACACAGGTCTGCGAAAAAATACTTCTTAAACATTGTTTTGACCCCATGATTTTTTTTTTAATAAATAAATGCCAACTATTATATTCTGATTTTTATTTCACCGAGAAATAACTGTTTGCATTAATTCAGTAGGTACCTGATAATTCGTTAATGAACAAA